CGAAAACCGAAGAGGTTGCTCAAGCAAGGTGGTATCTCTTTATGCTGATATCGAGGTAGCAGAGAACGTATGGTGGTGTAGTCGTGGTCGAGCTAGCCCGTGCGGGGGATGCGATGGTCAATGTCGTGTTGGGGTATCCGGTATCGAGGTAGTCGCTGTGGACCAGGAAGAAGACCGGCGATGGCGGCCTGGGGAGGCAGCGGTGGCGGCTAGGTGAGGAGCACGGTGGCAGTGCTCGAAGTAGGCGAGGAAAAACCCGACAACGTCACGAAGACCGGCACGGACGGTGGGGTTTCCGCGCCTAGAAAGGCGGCCCAACGCATACGACATAGAAGTCGACGCGCGTGGACGACGAAGTGAACGCGCGTGCCGCAGCGCTATGGCCCGGAGGGGCGACGCAGCAGCAGCGCGCGAGTCGGGGCGATGGTGTGGAAGACCTCAGGGTGGCGGAGGGACTGTGTGTCACGCTTGCTATGGCCCAATGGGGCAACTCAGCGGCAGTGCATGGGTCGGGGCAGCCACCGGGGCGGCCTGAAGCGAACGGCCTCGAGGAGGTGGTGGACCACGGGCCACAACACTACGACTAGTACGAGCAACGCAGCGGCAGCGGATCGGTGCAACCATGAAAATGGCCTCAAACAACGGCGTGGACTGCATGCCGCGACGCTTATGCCCGTAAGGGCGACGCAGCGGCCGCGGGATCGGTGCAGTTGTGGGAAGAACCACGGGGCGGCTACGTTGCGGCCCGATGGGGCGACGCTGCGACAACCCATTGCTCAATTGGTGGAGATGTGTTTTACTCGGGGACAGGGCGGCGACAGGCAGGCAGAAGCGCGAACGATGGCCATGACGGGCCACCACATCGCGCGAGGCCACCGCGTCAGAGAAGAGGTATGAGAGTCGCACCAGTGATGGAGTAGAGGTGCGCGGGATCAACGACGGCGGCAGGGGATGGAAACCGATTTTATATCGGAAAACCAAAAAGAAACGCCGATCAATGGGACCGGCGAGAGAGAGAATAACCAGACAAAGGATCGGTAAAAAGGATTTCCTAGGGCAGCTGGTCAACACGACAGGCGGACGAGCCCCCGGCGGCGCGTGGTCCCAGTGACGACCATGACGATCGACCGTTCCGGGGCGGCCCAATGCTGAAGAGGCATCGGCTAGGGTTTAGATCGGGGTTAATCTCATACCATGTAGAAGAAGAGAGAAGGAGTACATCTGCAGTGACATCCCAGTGCGTGTGCTACGGCACCTGAGGAGAAAAGTCCAAAGCAGGCTCATCACCATGGCCACTTCGGCCGCTCTTGGAACTGCACCTGCCGCATGCATTGAATGGTCACGAGAAAACGGCCATCTGGCTCGACAATGAAGCACTATTAAACCTTAAATTTGTACTTCTAAAATTAATGTTCACATATTATGAGACTATCTAATTTTCAGTTGATTGTTTTCTAGTACTATTTCAGTTAAAGTCAATTTTTCTGTCCAATGATGTGTTGACATTTGTGGCCTCTTGTTTGGAGTTTGTTTGGTGCAAAAATATTAACTGGTTTATGACATGGCCTCAGTCGAATTTTAATTGTTGGTCCACCTCCAAACATCCGCTCCCCTACCTATCGAACTTGCTACCGGGCTGGATTTTTTCGGGGGGACCTTCATGCCCGATAACGGCTTGTGACAACAACAATGGTGACAGACTGGATCGGATTTGGGAAGAACCGGGGGAGAGGAAGACAATGAGGGATGAGGCAGAAGATCCAAAAGAAAACAGATGAGCATGAGGTTGCAGACCAACATGAGCTCCAGCTTCAGTCCCAGGTACCTCCCTGTTCCCCTTCTTCCACCATCAGTTTGTAGTATGTTAAAGATGACTAGCATAAGGGCCTGTCCGTTGCAATGGTTTACAAAAGAACTACAAAATTTATAATCCCCATAATAAAACAACTCGAATTCGTCCAATTGCACCAATCTATCATAGCCATGTGTTGTTACGGTATAAAGCATAAAGGCACGACCAAATATAGAAAGTAAAAGAAAACGGAACGGAAAAGGGAAATGTTATATCTAGAAAGCGAAGGGGATGGCTCTCCTCTCTCCCTTCTCCCCCTTCCTCCCCCTGGCGGCGACGGCGTCGGGCCTGGCCCCCTCCCCATCTCCGGCGTCCACGTGCTGCTTCCGCGTGGACTCGTCCCTAGCCTTCTCCCTGTCGTCCTCTCCTCGCTCAGTCCTTCGAGATCCTCCCCCCGCCAACAGATTCTGGGCTCTTGGCTATGAGGCCTCGGACTCTGACTCCGATTCCCCCCCTCCCCGTATGGCGCCTCCGTGTGGCCTGCCCGTCATTTCGGCTCTGGGTCGGTGCCGTAAGTTCGCGTCTGGCAGGCACGGATGCCCTGCCTCCGCTGCGTTGGCCGTGGATGGCTGGACGCGCATGTCTCACGGGCGCCTCCGCGCTCCTGTTCCGTCTCCTGCTCGTGGTATCCTTGGGCCTGGTCGGTGTTTTGCGCCGGCATCGGTCCCATTCTCTTCCCCTCCTCCCCGGCCACTTCCCACATCAGGGCTCCGTCCGTGGGCTCGCTAGTGTCCTCGTCGGCGGCGGCTAGGTCGCATGTAACCCTAGATCTGGTGGTGCCTTCCGTGGTGGTGCCAGCTCCTGGGTCTCGGGCTTCTGTGTCGCCTGGTGGGCCTGTTGTGCCGGGGGCCCTTATCCCCCTTGCCAGTGTTTCGGATTCCCCCCTTCCTCGGGTGGCCCAAGCCCACCCCCTCGCTCCCCCTTCAGCCCAACCCATCGGCCCAGGCCTGGCGCGGTCGGGGTATATATGTGTGCGGAAGGGCTCGCTCCCCCCATTCCTAGGGTTTCCAGCCCCTCCCTCTAACCTACGCCGCCTCCGCTTCCCCATCCGTGTTTTCTTCAGATCTGCTCCTCCTCCTCCCCTCTCTCTCTCTCTCGTTCGGGGCGGTTGTCTCGATGGACCGCTCGCACGGGTCCTCCAGCGAGGCCGTGTCCGGCCAAAAGCGGTGGCGGGAGGGCTCGGCTGAGGGGGAGGCCGATCTAGAGTATGAGGCTGCGCTCCGGTCCAAGCTCCAGGTGGATC